GCTGATGTCGGTCCTGAGGGATAGGGTACAACTATTTGTTCGTATTTGATGGACAAGCAACAAGGCACAAAGAGGCGAAGCAACTTGTCCAGGACAGAACAAGAAACAACCTCATCTAACCTAAGCCTTGGTGCTCTATCTTGTATTTCGGAAACAATCAACATCCATTGGCCTGGTGGAGGGAATTAGGGAATAGAAATGCTGAAGCATCCAGAAACTGTTTTTCCAGAAGCAATAATAAAAGCAGCAAACAAAAGGTAGCATTAGTAATGCTGGATTTAAAGATGCTACATGGCAATATATGATTTTTCACACTATAATCTAAATGTCGTCCTGTGAGAATAGCAATATCGTGGGAAAAGCATTTTGGAGTTTCCTCTGATTTTTCAGAGCAGAGGACCTTAGGTTTACCTTGTCTTGGAGCTTACAATTTAGAGACAAATATCGGTGCTGCATTACAAAACCTGGGCCATCTGTGTGCTCATCTCTGCACTGGCTGCTGTAGCCTCGGCAAAATGAACAAGAGACGCCCATATTTGGCTCCTCACTTTGCTGTAGACATCCTGTGTGACTTCTGACAAGCCCTTTTCTCCCAGCTTCCCATATGAAAAATAACAGCATTTTTCTAAACCCCCTCCCCTCCCCGGTAATGTGAAAAGGGTTGCGGTGTGTTTCCCAACCGTGCTGCCGAGAGGTGAGCATTCCCTCCTGACGGAGGGGGGGAAGAACGATGCACTCCGGTGGATGCTGTGTGGTTACACGCCCCAGGTGACCAGCAGGTTGCTGAAAACGATCTCGTCATTGAACCAGTGACGCTATTTCAACTATTCCAGGAGACAAACAATGCTTCCAACTGGGAACAAATGGATTCACGCCCAGGGCTTGGATCCAAACACTCCAGATGCTCTGTGAAGGAAGCTCGGATCAAAACCAACCTCTTTGCAAGGCAGCAGGACGCCGCAGTGCCACCAGGTCTCTGAGCACTTCCAGGCCCCTGCCCGCAGCAGAGCGTCGCCTCCTCGCCGCACCCTGCCCCTCCGACCTCCTCGGTATCGGCCCTGCACGAACCCCCGTGAGCCAGAAGGGCACGGAGGAGGCAGCGGCCGCAGCGCCGTCCTGCTGGGAGCAGGGCTGCCGTGCGCGGCGGCAGGATGAAACTGAGGGAGATGAACGAAACCGCTGTGCTCTGGTTGGGTTTTGTCGTTTTGTGGTCGGACGTCCATCCCCCCAGAAAACCCACTGGAGAGACTTAACAGCATTTGTGCGCCCCATAATGCGCACTGCTCGGTCAGAGCCCGCAGCAGGCACCGCCTGGAGAGAGCAAGTTACCGGGGATGGCAGGGAGCACGGCCGGTTTCTGTACCCTCGCCTTGGCCTTCCCGCAGCGAGGTAGAGGCAGCACTAATGGAAATGTGAAGACAACATTTTGTAGCCCAAGAAAACCCCGTTTCCAATTTGTTTCAAATTCTCATCTACTGATTTTCTCACATTGAAATACAAGGTTTATTCTCCCTACAAGGAAGGATTTTCAAAGCAGGTTGGGGCTCAGGTTGGCAAGAAAGGTGAAAAAAAAAAAAAAATAAAAAAAGAGAGACGTTGTTGGATGAAGTCCCGATGTGGTGCTTTGTCTGTGTAGGGGCTGAAGTGGGTCACAGTGAAAAATGTGTAGAAAAAATGCTGGTAAATGATTCTGGTCTTCTTCAGGTAAAAGCATGGGGAGCCTTCGGCTTCATGAGTGTGGAAGGAAGATGCTTCCCTCGCATTTTACTGGAAAGACATTCTGAGCTTTCCAGTGTTAAGTACAACTTATATTCCCCAGCTAGAAATAAAAGTGGATCCCACCAGTAAGCGTGTTGCCCAGCAAAGCCGAGTTCAGCCGGACAGGTGAGGTTGTTTCCTTCTCCCGTTCTCGCTCCATGAGATCTTCATCAGGGAACAGATCAAAGGAGAGAGCTTGCATACGGCTCTACAACCTGTTGTATACACTTTCTCCCCCATATCCTAGTACATCAAAGAATTTGAAACAATAGCTAGGAAAGCAAAGACTGGAGTATTTCTAGAGTATCAACACAGCTACTCACGTATCTCGGTGAAACAGAAGGGAATTAAGCTTGGACGAGCAGATGTAGTGCAGCAGGAGACCTTACCACAGGGCCGGGCCATGCCAGCGATACAAATTCTGGCAATTTATTGAAACCAATGGCATTTTTTTGGCTGAGGCATTATTCTTCTATGTCTAGAGAAGCAGCCCAGGAGACAGCTGTGTCAGTGAAGTCTGCAACGGGCGAAGTCTTGTCTCCTCCTTAAACAAAAAAGTAAGACCTGTATAAGAGGCATTTTCCTGCCACTAGGCTTTGAGGTTGGAAGTTGTAACGAGCTACTGGAGTTCAGCTTTGAGAGGAGAGATGAGGGAAACGTCCTGTCCCAGCCCCTGAAAGCTGCCGCCCTACGGCTTGCCCGCAGGAGAGCGCGCTGGCGAAGGAAGCAGACAGGGTGTGCCTGCCGTGGAGTCCAGGAGGAGCAATGCTCAGCAGTTCAGCAGACATGGGGAAGTCTCATGGTGGTTTCTAACATCCAAAAGCTCCCTGAAGGATAATACCGGTAAGGAAAAACAAAACAAACCCCAAAACCAGGTCCTGCTTTGAAAACACTCCCGTAGATCCTTTTTGCCATTGGCGTGGGTGGAAGAGAACGAAGGTAAGAGCACCCTTGTGGGACACATAAGTAACAACCTCTCCCTCGCTCCTTGTTCAAGCCCTCCCAAGTCAGGCTTCTGTCCAATGCCCTGTACAGCCCATTCCTTGCTCAGGGCGACCCCGACGTGGAGCAATGAGGAAAACCAGCATTGGCTCTTGTGGCACGGATGCTGAGAGAGGGCCCCACGGCAGGGCACACTGCTCTCCTTCAAGCAGACGTCAGTACTTCCCTACCGCTGCCACCTGGGCAAAACCAAGATCCTCAGAAAACATTTGAAAGGCAGGAGAAACAGTGTTTTTCCCCCATGTCAGAACCTGCTAACATATTTTACACGTTTGCAAAACAGGTCTGAAAAGAACTTGCAGGAGGAGAGAAAAAAAGGCACCTTTCTGTGCTAGACCTGGACATTAAACACTCACCTCCAACTACGTCCTCTAGCAACTGTTACCGTACCCTAGCACGTAGGAGGGAGTATAGCAGAGACGCACATCTGCACGAGTCAAATACTAACCGCAGAAACCAATGAATCCCCCCAAGTTACCTTAAGGGCAGCACACAACCGGCGGATCTGCTTGCGAGTGCCAGAAGCTCCCAGGCTGGTTTCTGTAAAGCTTACACTCGAGTATTCCCTTTTCTACCCAGTTATGTCTCTTCTACACTGTATTTTTCTAATACTGAAAAAAAACCTTCACAAAGCCTCTTTGCAAGAAGTTCTATTAAAGACGCATTCATCATGTTACAAGAACTTGCCATACATACCAATAGTAACACCCAAAGTACCCACAGAGGAACGGTTGAAGCGGAATCGAAGCCACGCTGTGAAAAGCGATCCGAGCATTGCCTGTTAGCAAGAGCTGCTATACCTGAAGAGAAAGAAAACATTACCGTAGGCTCAGACTCAGAGTCCCTCCTGAGTTAAACCACACTGACTGCGAGTTTTCTCCACGGGCAATAAGAAAAGCCCAAAATAAGCAGCCATAACGAGCAAGTGGCTTTAAAAGCAAAGCCCTCGAGCTCCGTGGAAGCGAAGGCAGCTGACTGGGAAAAGAAACAGTTCCCCTCGTTTGTCAAACGAAGGTCTCTCTCCCCTTGTTTGTTGTCGCTGCCAAGAGCTCTGACTTACATTTGCTTCCACGCGAGGGGGGAGTTTGGTGGCTGTAATCCCCTTCATCCAGATGGCCTGTCAGGGCTTACAGGCATTCCTTAAAAATAGAAGCAACCTAATCCCAGTTCAGCTAATTTAACAGAAGTTTCTGCAAAATTGCATGGTTCTTTCAAAGCTAACAGGCAATAATTCATGGCCGTGACATCAAATGGTTTGCTTCCTCTCTTGCCACCGATTTCACAGATGCATTCCTTGCTCTGTGTTGATACAGGCTGTTGTTCTGCAGTTATTTGCCTCTCTTCTCTTTCACTCGATGCTATTTTATTTGCAGCTGAGGATGCTGATTCACCTGCAGATCCCACTGGAATTATTACTGGCACCCTTTTCCACAGCTTGGTGGCCGTATGGCACTAACAGCTGAACGAATGGGATGCAGCAGTGTTCTCAAACCTTTGCAAGTTCATATCCCAACATAAACCAGCGCCAACTTCACGTCCCGTTACTAATTCCAATAGCAGCTTTCGTGAAAAAAACAAAGCAGACAACCAGAAATTGTTTCATGCGTCTGCTTGATCTGCTGTGTGCAAGTCAACGTTCTACATAATACAGCCTGAATCGGTCATCAGAAGAAAAAAGCAGGCTTTCATTGTAGCCGCCACCCAAGCATCGCCTCCAAAGGGAGAAGATGCTTTGGGCTTACAGCTACGCATTTTGCCGGCCCAGTGTCAAAGGACACCAACGTAACTGCTGCCGGCCCGCGTACCTTCCTATTGCCCCTTCACCGCCCATCTTCCGACCTGCGCAATGACGAGTTACTGAAGCGATGACAGCAGCAGCCTGTCTGGTCTGGAGTTTAAGAGTACCGAAGATATGGCAAGTGGCTTATTTTTGGATAGAAGCATAGCATTTATCGAAAGATGAAAACGTTTTCATTAGATTAGCTGATGCAGTCAGAAAAAAGTAGAGAAGCCTCAGGCATTCAAAGCGCAGTTGCTGAAGCCATGCTCGATCTACAGTGCTTCACCAGCAGCGTACAGACACTGAAAATACCTGGCTCTCTGGGTTTGATTTCCCATTACTTCTAACGCACACACCATCCTCTTTAAAGAGACAGCGGTGGGGAATATTCACTGCACCTCTGCTTGGACACCACCGAGAAAAAACGTCACGTTATACATAGCCCACCGTCCTGAAAAGCTCACGCAACAGGTGCGGGAAACAGCAGCATCTTCTCGCTGCCGGAGGTGCCCGGTTCCCTCCGCACGCCCAGCACTGCTTTTGCTGCACCACCAGTGCTCGCTGGTTCGGTACGCTGCACCTTGGCTCCTGCATGGACCAGGAGCCCCGCTCGAGCAACAAGCACTCGTGCTGCCAGTCGCTGTGGTTTTCCTTTGAAAAAACACTGGAGCTTAAAAACACTTAAAAATAATTTTTTAACAACTTGCAGAATTTTAACACACTGAAAATTATCTTCATTTGGATACTAAAAGACGACCTCAGTTGAACCCAGTGTTCTTTTGAAGTGCCATTTGACAACCAGAGAGGGAAAACAATGAAAGACTTAAAGTTTTCATGTATTTTATTTACAGGCCGCACAATACATTTTATATACAAATGGCTTAAAATAACAAAGAGTAAGCAAGCTGAAGCGTAACAGTTTGATTATTTTAAATTAGGTTGTCTTGAAATAACTCCTGCAATAAAGTATTCTTCACCCTGATAAGCAAAAGTTAGTTCGATTTTAAGTCAACCCAAGGTCATTTCATTTTTAAATACAGAATTCGAATCAGTTTTCTGGTGATTCCTTAATTTCATGACACACTTCCACGTATACAGAACATCCCAAAACTATCAAGAAAGGAAATAGCCAAAATTTCCCCATGTAAAAAACAGTGTAACAGAATAGACTGGAGAAATGTCGTATGTAGAACACTCGCGTGTTTTATTAACGAAAAGAAGAATGCAAGAAATACATCTGAGATTTTTCTCTCTTGGAAACAGAATTCATGGTCTGAGATCTAATTTGCCCGCAGACAAGAGGTATCCTATGTTACTTCAGTTTTTACCGCACTACTGCACAATTATCTATTAAACTCATCCAACTGTAAACTTCACCAAAACCGAAACTGCCCTATGTTACTTCAGTTTTTACCGCACAATTATCTATTAAACTCATCCAACTGTAAACTTCACCAAAACCGAAACTGCCTCCTGCACCAAGCAAAAGGAGAAGAGCACTCAAAACCGTTAAGAACTTACATTACAGAACTTATCACCTCCGCTTCTAGAAAGCACCTTACACTACCATGGTATGGAGAAAATTTAACATAGACCATGTTTTATGGAAACATAAGAAAATATAGAAGTTTGCCACTTTAAAATTATTTTTCCCAAGAAATTATATTAACATTTAAGGATACATGTATTTTTACACCTCTTCCCTAACACTGCTCCTTCTGTTCAAGATAACAACAACTAGCGATCTAGGATAAAAGCTGTTTCCTTTTCCTTTGGCTGATTTTAAGTATTATAATAGTCTAAGCATTTTAAGTCATGGTCACAGCAGTCCAGTCGTGCTCGCTTTCTTCCTCTTGGTATGGTTAAAGACCACTTAATATAAATAATGAAGTACTCGCTACTTGATAGTCCATGATTACAGTATTTTGCTATGTTTATTTAGAAATACAAACACACAACACTTACTTTTCGATGTAGTGTCCAGGTCTCTGTAGCACACTTTGGAATTGCAGCACAGAAAATGTAAACCCAAAGGAATGAGGGGGAAAGTAACAAAAGCCACGGCTCCACAGAAAAATAACGCGGTTTTCAGAATGTCTACTACTGCATCAAAAATGCACATGATGTAAAATACCAAACTAGTACAGACTCCCTCTGTCGAGTGAAATTTGTTCAAAAGGGGAAAATTCTGAACTGACATAAGCACCTCATCATGTGATTTAATTCTAAAGAAATTTTGATAGATAATAGACCGGTCCGGTACGAATGAACATGGACCTACAGTCCTTAGATCGGGTCAGTTGCCCGGCTACTAACTCGCCCAGACGCAACTGTGGGGCCAGGGGAGCGCGGCGGCGGGGAGAAATCCTCCTGGCACGCACCCCAAGGGCTGCCCTGCGGAGGGAGGGCAGAGCTCCTCACCCAGATGCAGCCCATGCGCAGCCTCTGCCTGCCCAGGAGGAAAGGCTGTCAGCGAGAGAGAGAGAGAGAAGACCTCCCGGGTTGCGGAGAAGGTAATCTCTTCAGAGTTATCACATATGGAAATATGTTAACTTTCCCTCCAAATTATCCCCAACACTGCTGTCCCAGGCAAGTGCAGCGTTCAAAGTCACAGGCGAGTAATCTTTGAACTGAATCTGGGGAAAAGGCATTGTACAGTACGCATCTGCCACAGTGTGCCAAAGTTTCGTTTCTGATTCATCTGGAAGTCAACTGCCTATTGCATCTCCTTCTCTCTTCTCACAGTCAGGATTACTCGTGCTGTTGGTTTTTGGGTTTGTGGGGTTTTCTTTTGTTTGTTTGGGTTTTTTTGGGGTTTGGGGTTTTTTTTCATGGCCGAAGACCGAAATCCGTTTTGGTGGAACAATGCAACGTCAGAGTACTGCCAGCCTGTCAGGAAACCGCACTGTTGTTTACACATGCGGAGGGGACTGACTTCTCTGCATTAAACGAGGTTAACTAAATGACTTGAAAATTTATCTCCAAAAGAGAAGCAGCAGGAGACAGAACGTCTTCCTTGCATTTTTGTATTGGAAGTCAAATCATTTAGTCCTCCGAGATCTACCTTCCATTTGAACTTACCTGCTTTTTTAGCCAGCTGTCCCCTGCAGTTACATTTGAAGTGCAGGAGAGTAACACCAGACTGCACGCTTTCAGTGAAAGCAATTGCCTAAGAGCTCAGAAAGTCTTTTGCTCGATTCTGAAAAACAGCAATCTATGTGCATCACTGTGGGATTGTTTTTTTTTTTTTAAGATTAGTAAACAAAAAGCCTTAGCTGACACTGTCCATATCTAAATGACACTAATGATTTTTGCCTTTAAAATTTTACTAGCAGAAAAATGCTACAGGGTGTCCTTACTCAAGGAAAGCTATCCAATGCACTGTCATTCACACCTGAAGCTTTTGTTTTTCTCAAGCACAGGCTATTCAGGTCGTAAGTACTTGTTTCTGACCAGGCCGCTTTTATTTTCAGACGCAGGATTTTCTACTGTGTCTAGTGAAGACAATTGCCAGACTTACAGGACATCATAAGCAGCACGACTCTCTCTCCATTTCTCATTTGCCAAGATCCTCAAACGCTACATAGTTAGCGAAGTGAGTTTCTCCATGCTCTACAATGTGGTAGTTAGCCATATAGGAACCAGGATTTTCAACTAAAACAAAACAAAACACCAAGAACTTTGGCTTCTATTCTGAAAATCCAAAAAGTCACTGACAAGACTACGTTTGTAATAGTGTAAGTAGAAATTTTACTTTTTAAAAAGTAATAATTAAACACTCAGTTACATAAGGTACCGATTTGTCAACTGGATAATCAGTTGGAAAATTGTTTCCAATATGGGCTTTAAAACATTCTTTTACGTACATGCAAAATATAACCATACCTCCTCTCTGCAGGAGAGAGACCACTTGTTGTCAAAGGAAAAAAAAACACGCTGGAAGTTGTAATTAATATGAGGAGTGGCTCTTGGTAATAGTTTCAACTACAGTCATTTTATCAGCTGTTCAGAGAGACTCGATTCCAATATTAAAACGTTCTGCAGAATAGCAGATATAAAATCGATTAATTGGCACAATCACAAGTTTACAGAGAATTAGAACTAGTGTCAAACGTTTTGCTGCTGCTTTAAATACTGGGCATTTTTCCTTTGATTAATTCTTATAGTGCAGTATTTGTGGTAAAAAGACGACAGTGTCAGCTTTTCACACAAAGTAAAGTAATTACTGCTGTTAACATTGAAGAGGAAAAACCATTTCATCACTTGGTAGGGACAGATAAAGTATAGTTTATTTGGCAGAGGAACTAAAACACTTACTATAACTCCAAGAGGGAGCTGAGGAAAAACTACACTCTTCATTCTTCTCACTTTCAACGTTTCTCATGAAGTTCAATTTGGAAATTACGATTTCATCAAGATAAGATTAGGTCTCTAAATAACTGGCCCACCTGAAGTAAACAGCACAAGGTTATGACCTATTTGAGTTGATATTATTATCTGAATTTTCATGTTAACTACCTAGGTTTAGGTATTATTTTCATATTCATCTATAAAGTACTTCCAAATTTTTGCAGACCTTAAGCTTACATGTTAAGGCACTTACCATTCAAGTAAAACAGTTTTTATATAAACAAGCCTGGGAGATGGAGAGAACATTTTACCAGAACATCCATTCTTTTTTTTTTTTCTTGAAAGAAAAGAAAAATAACATTGACCAAATATTTATAAAATTTTGCATCAAGAGAAAGGTTGTGTTTTATTATCTGAAATGAGCACAAAGTACACCTTCCACAATAACACTGAAAGCAGTGCAAAGACTGACAGTGACCTTTGACTAAAGGTAGTTCTGTAAAAAGAAAAATACCAAATAAATCAGTGCCCTGCTTTGATTGTTGTAAAATTTTTTTTACATAAAAGTTGGTCCAAACTTACAAAAAAAGCACAAATGTGCATAGTTCAGAAGATCTGAAAGAGTGCCATAAAAAGCTGATGTCCCTAAATTTAGCATCCACTTAAAACTGCCAAAATACAAAATAAAATTCAGAACTAGAGTTTGTGAACATGTACAATCAATTTATCTAGTTTTCAGACAGCATGAGTTTTAAGCATTTTTCATTTTTCCTACTGTATGCAAGACCCTTTTCCACATAAAAATAAAGCTGTTGAATTAACATTATTCAAGTCTGTTGAATTGCTGCTTTAAACTGCAGCTAGGAAAAAAAAAAAAAAAGTTTTTCCAGATAAAAATGATGTGCCTGAGGAAAAACAGATACTCAATATGGTAATCCTCTGCCTCGCCCTCTCACTGCAGATGTGCTAATGTGTCCCCTGTATCCTTGGGAATAGCCGGGTCCTTGGGCAGGAGAAGTCCAAGTCTGTCCATGCATGTGGCTGATGCCACTGGGGTTTTCCTGCAAGTTACTTCCGTAGCTATAGTTGTGTATCTTTGTGGGCAAAGAGTGCGTACTCTCTGGCCCTGCAGAAGCGTCACTGCTGCTCCCCAGAACTGGGATCGGGCCGTGGCTGTATTCAAACCTATGGTCTTTATCTCCACTAAATAGCATGGGGCCAGTGTTGAGGTAAATGTCTCCATAACCAGTTACTGAGCTGGGAAAGGATTCTGAAAAGGCCGATGGAGGAGGGGCACCACCAGAGTGAGATGAAGCAGTACTGTAGTTATCCAAAGACTGAATATCCGAGTTTCCAAGGAAGCTCCTCCTTTCTAATGCTCCTGATGATCCGCTTCCTATTCCATCGCTACTGCCATAATGGGCAGATGAGAAGGACGACGATCCAAAGTTATCCTTGTAGTCTGGGCCTGTTACGTAGGAGTCTCTAGCCTGATAATCCACGCTCGTTTGTACTGGCTCCTCTGTTGTCGCCTGAGCTTGATGCTGAGCAAGCAGCTGCAGAAGAGCTGCTTTCACTCCTGCGTGAGGATCTGTTCCTGAAGAGTTAGTTATAGGCAAATGCTGGTTCTCTGTCCGATAATCAAGGTCTTCATCAGTGAGTGGCGGAGGCTCTGGTGGCTCTGGGGGACGCTGGTCTGGAGGCAAGATCCGAGGGCGCTCTTGTTCAGGTGTTCGGTTTAGAAGCCTCATCTCGGACTGCCTAACCAAATCCTCTTGACCTAAGCAGATGAAAAAGAAAAGCTTTGGAATAAAAACATACAATAGCAATACCAGAAAGGAAAGGGCTCTTTCCTGGAACAATACAGAGGTTTGTTACTTCAATCCTCATCAACTTGTTAGTTAAATTTATTGGTAGTTGGATAGATTATTTTGGAGAAGGCAACAGCTCATTTGCCTCAGATGAAGGTTTTCCTCAAAATAAGATTACTAGGCAAACAGTTAAAGAAAAACAGTACAGGTTCCTTAACAAAAAAAAAAGCCAAACAAAAGAAAAAAACAACCACAAACCACCAAAACAAAACTCAAGCAACACATAAACACTAGAAAATTCAAAGAAGGATCAGAAAAGATTTGCAAATAGGGATAAGAGTCCTGAGGGACAAAGGCCACCCTATCAAGGAACAGCAAAACTTCAGGTTAAAAAAACCCAACCAAACAAAAAAAAAAACCCACCACCCAAAAAACCCCTCAAAAAACACCCCCAAACCACTTCAGAATATTTCTTTCAACAGCTGCAAACACCACAGAGCAATACATAAACCACCATATAATAAAACTGAAATAGCAATCCAAAAAAATCAGCAACAGAGCTCTAAACTTTGAGAAGACTGAGGAAGTCACTACTATACCCCAACGGAAACCTTCAACCATGTGTGTTAGTGCCAGTTATGGGTAACCACTTACAGAATTTGCACTAAGAAATTGCTCTACTCGGCATTAAAACCAAACATAAAATACCCTCTCCCCAAAACAGCTTTACCTGAACACACAGTCAAAATCAGCGAATTCCATCTATGAATTTGCTAGAGAAGACTGTCTCCTCCACCACAAACACCACTAAGAAAACGCCAGCCCCCCCGAATAATGATCAATGTGACTGTTTCATCAGAAATACTACCGGCACTTGTGTACCTCTTAGAGTGGGGATCATCTTTTGCTCTGTCTGCATGGCACCTGTTACAGCAAGACACAAATTCTGATCCAGAGATAAAGCGTAACAAAATCAATTTAACCATCTCTCCTGTACTCACGCAGACTCATATGGTTAACGTGTTAACTATTTATCCCCAACCTATTACATCTCCACTGCTCAAGGTATCTGCCAGTTAGCAATAAAGACCTTCAGTACCTGCAGACGTATATAATGACTTGATCAGATGTGGGTAGCCAGGAGCCGGAGATTCCACGTCGTCCCGGCTGACAGACACAGGAGTGGTGGGCTCTGGAGGCTGCCTGAGTTGTAATGACATTTCATTTCCTGATCCGTTTTCCTTCTCCTCCAACACAAAATCTTTTTGTTTTGTTTGCTGAGCCTTTATTAACTGAGACAACAGAACAGCAAATGCACTCTGTACAGCTGCCTGGGCAGCATCAGTCTCAACTTTAGGCTGACTCAGCTGAGCAGGTGGTACAGGAGGCTGCGTGACGGTCGGCTGTTTTAGAGGCTCCTGTTCCGGCGGTGGTGGCGGAGGCGGCGGCGGCTGCTGCTGCTGCTGTTCTGACTGTTTTTCACCTGCTGACAAAATTCCAGCAGGAAGATTTATTTTATTTAGTTGCTGCTGAGTCTCTGGGTTTACCTTAATATTCAACACTTGGGCAAATTGTGCCAAACTAACACTTGTTTTAGACTGTAGCAGGTTTAGCAGGATTGCCACTTCATTCTGGTTTAACTGCTGTCCAGTGCTTGTTTTTGCTAAAGACAAAAAAGGTGGTTTTAAGTATTATTTAGAACTGGCATATTCAGAAACTCAAAAGTAAAACTCATCTAGCGCGGCTGACACAACTGGCAAAGCATGGGTTTGGACAACATAGAAATGGAATGCTTTTACATATTAACTGCCTTTGGGGGAGCATCTATAGGAAATGGAATAGTAAGATCCAATAGAAAGAAAGTGACTTCCAAGGGGTGTGCACATGCACTTGGACAGATGAGAAACATCAAGCTGGAGCTCAATTTTCCACAATACAACTAAGCTGGGGCTTAAGGCCACCTGCTTTAGGCAGCTGTAAGATTTCCAATCCCCACAAAATTTCCTATCTTTGACATATCACATCCCTCTGTTAAAAAGTGGCCATCTGCAAAATGCATTTCCAGTCATATTCTGGCCCATTCTAATTCAGCATCTGGATTCTAACACCTGCTCGAGTGACCAGGCTCTAGGTGACCCAGAAGCTAGTGGTATAAATGAAAAAGCAAGTGCTGAGTTTGAAGGACAAAGAGTCAATCACTGAGTAGCAGGAAAATGCAGGTTTGTGATGATATAAGATTTCTTCAATGAAATGGAGTTTGCCACAAATAAGAGGAGATTATGACGATGCAGGGGAATATGAATAAGGAAGTCAGAATATCAAAGTAGTTTCTGTTTGTTTCAAACACCCATTGTGGTAGTTTATTTTGAAAGGAGAAGTGAAGCAGCATGGATTTCCACATACCCCATGAGTAGACGACTTAGAGAAGAAAGTCGTTAAAAATGAAAAAATGAGTGTGTGTGACTGTTCTGGCAGAGCCCTGAATTTTTTTTAACCCAGATCAACAGGAGCACATTCTCTCCTCTTCTATCCCTGCCATTCTGCTAATTCACCAATATATTAATTCATAGTAGATTCAAAGCCATGCCTGAAAAAATGGTCACACACACAAAAATATTAAGTATTTACCTTGCAAGACTAAGAGCAGCACAGCTGGAAAGTGCTGCAACACCCACAACCCACTACCCTACTTGTGGATGTGCACCAGGATACAAGCACTCGGAACCTACTCAGGCAGGATCCAGGGACTTCAACAATTTTATGTATTTATATAAATATAAAAATAAACCCACCAATTTTTGCATTGTATTTGGCAATACAGAAAAAAGCATCATTTCTAATGCCTTGTACTGCTGGCTCTCACTCAGATGTCATGCTTAACAGCTGACAGTTGTAACATCTGAGGATGGTATGCTCAACACTCAAACTTCTCTCAGTGAAAATTCAGCAGAATCTACCTATTCCATACTCTTCGGTTAGTTTCAAGTGCATTCCAAGAGCGAGCTGTATTCTGGGAAATCTGGCAGTTTCTACCAAAAGGGAATTACTGAGCTCTACATAGCTCCTGTTACATTGTAAGATGCAATAACCAGGCGTCTCATTCATGAATCAGAACATTAGCAATTGATCCAAGGTGTTTTTAACATCTTCTTTTGGGGTGCTCAGAAACAAATGCAATAGTATTGTCTAAAGCATGCATTTGTACATGGAGTTCTTTAGTGTGCCTTATTGATGATATTATCTAAGGTGCATTATGGCTTCCAGAAGTGTTTTGCTTAATACAGAAAAATCCTCTATGCTGAACTAAGCTCCACTGAAAATTAAATTGTCTTCTTTTCTACCTAGATACATTTCTCTGTGTACATATGGGCAAACAGCAATATAGGCCTGAATGATTCCTTCTCTATTTGTTTAGTTTATTTTGCATGGTTCGTATTAATGACTAATAAATATACTAGTCTCTCATCAGGCTACCTGTTATAAAAGCACAAAAGAGAATAACTACTATCCTTCGGACTCTTTAAACTTCTATACAGTTTTCATTTGCAGGGGAAAACCTTTTAAGGGCTACAGAAAGTCATGCTTGAAATTGCTGCCAAAACTTTAGCCTAAACGTACGGAGTGGCAGAAGCTCACAGCTGGCTTACAGTGAGAAACAGGATTAACAGGAGCAAGAGGCAATAAATTGCAATAAAATATGATCAAAAGAACTATTTTCTATATAGCTTTGCACAGAGTATTTGGAGCTCTGCTCTATTGTTAAATGAAGAGTTGATTTAAGATGGTTCTTATTAAAGAATTTTCAGGCCCTGTGAATGCATTTACTCTTTTTCTTCAGCTGATCTCCTGTATCAGTGCCATAGGATTTATGGTCTCTTTGCACAATCAAAAATGATCTAAATGATCTAAACTCATCAGGCATCCATTTGGTATTGTTACTCTGTATATTTCTACTTATTATGAGGGAACTTATCACTGAACTGCTGAGTATCTCAAATGGTGTCCACAGAGGAAACCATTACTTTACTCTTTATAGTATACTCATAAAATTGGTCTCCAAGCAAGATACTTTGGTTAAGTTTCAGAATTAATGGCTGTGCAATCTAGGTAGCTACTTCTTGTTATACCAGTTTTGGGGGGGAGGGGGGTTTGGTGTTTATTTTTTTTTACAATTTGGTTCAGCCCCAACAACTTGGAAAGCTGCAGACTAACATAACATGCAGAGGGAATCTGTTTCATTTGAAATGATGACTTTTCCAAAATCTGCCTTCTGATCAGTTCATCAATACCAATAAAGCTCCTCCAATCTATGGAGATTGCGAGGAATTTAGAGCAGCAGCTGGCTTGTGGGATCACAGAAGAATTATAGATGAGCAAGAGATACAATCCCCTCAAAATACAGAGCAAGGTAGTTGCTCTGACCAGATTGAAAAACTAAGTAAAACTTAAAAGGAACACCTAGTTTCCAAAAGCAAAAGGTAAATCTTTTGTAACAAAGGTTTAACTTACAATACTGTTCCTCCCTCAAGAATCCAGGAGACGTCAGTACTCTGAAAATAACATCTAAAATTTCTAGAGGTGCAATCCAAGTAGAAGGTAATTATAAGAACCGAAAATATTACTGACCAAGTGCTACACTAGAGTTGCCCTGAGTTTTGAGTTGGGAAGAAGTTTGCATGCCTTGTGGGGTGTTGGTTCTGCTCTCATCCATGCCTAGAGACAGATCCTTCCTAGGGACTTTAGTTGCTGTTGAGTCATCAGTCATGCCCATCTGCTTCTGTCTTCTGCGTTTCTTACTCCACAGCTCATGGCAATCCTGCCACAAAGGAAGGCTGCAAAGAATGATTAGAGATAATCAGTTTTATCCCAGAATTGATTTTTTTTAAATGTTTATTTTAACCATGTTGGTAAAATAAATGCTCAAATGATACATAAAGTAACTTTTGAAAGATGAACCTACTGGAACTCAGAAATACATCAGAAAACACCCAAAGCCAGCAAAATCGCAGATCTGCTTTTTCTGGCTGAAATCGCTTCACTGATTGCCTATGTCAGAAGCACAGGTCCCTCTGGCAGAGAAGAGGAACGTGTATCTTAAAATGAAAATCAATGTTACTTTCTTGCATCCATACTTATGAAAAGCCTCATTATTTGTGTAATTCAAGACTTCAAAATCAATGCTGCGCACTTGCTATAAAACAGAATTTGCAGAGTAGCAGACAACACAGTTATCAACATGACAGTGGGGTTTTTTCGGGGTCTGGGTGACCAAGTCCTTTTGTCTGCTTGTAAAAGTACTACTGCCTTATGAGTTCAAATATTTGTCCACAGTAACAGACATAGCTAGCTAATATTTATAGCTGTACAGCACAGAAAACTAAGAAAGCAGGGGCGGGGGGGAAGTTGCAGGAATAAATAGCATTTAACACTAGCGAAGTTAGGATACTAGGAAGAACAAGGGATATCCCAGTCCTTCAAGACAGATAAAAGCAGAGGCAAAAGTCTCCTAAGGAAGTCATCTGCCACCAGTTCTGTCCTTCCAATACTATTCCCTGCAGGCATCCCAGTTCTGATTTCCTGAGGAACACAGACCCATCCCATAGATAATGGAAATACTGAGATACAGGCAGTAAAGATAGTGCCTTCTGTTTTCTTATTACAGATTAATAACTGTCTGAGCAGTTGTCTCACCAAGGAACATGAAAAAATTAGGCAACAGATGACAAGAGCCACTGGAAAGGCAATTATGACAACTGCTTCCTTTGTTCTCTCCCTCGGCATACCAGGTCACAGACCTGTCAATTATTTAGTCAAAAACAACTGGAAGCAAGCAAGAACTCATTGTGAGAAGTATCCTACAGTCCTTGCAATCAGCACTGTCACTTTCTTTGAATGAACAGCTGTTTCTTCCCAAAACAGTCTTTCAAGAGAACAGTCAACACTTTCCTGTGCACACTCTGTCAGAAGTGAGTGTGGTTCCTCTTAATTTTGAAAAGGACACCAATGACTAGTTTGTTTTGAATTTCCATGTGTCAGCTTTTAGAATGGATACACTACCAAGCCCCTGAAAAAAACCCAAAATTCTTCCCACTCACTTACTTTAAAATGCACATAAGCAACATGCTGTACAAGTGGTTCTGAGATTTCAGTGAACAGCCTAAGATTGCTGATTACTGATATTCAATGATATATATAGTCATATTCAGGCAATGAACGCTCTTAGCCTCATGTATCAGGAGCATTAGTAACAACCGTGTGTATGTAACAGGTAAGTCTCGAAAGATTTTTAACAGAATTCAAAGATAAAGCTCAAACATTTTTCCCAGTTGGTAACTAATTAAAAAGAAGTCAGTACAGACTGCCTTGAAGGTACAATTTACTCAAACAATATTAAATGGTCTATGTTCTGACAGCTATCTTGAGGGAAGAATGAAATCGGTAGATTCTGTAATACCTTTTCATTGTTTTCCTCTGGGCCTGTTCCAATATGATTTGTACTGATTAAAATGACAATTAAGTCATTGCAAAAACCCTACTGGACACTGCAATACATTTCCTCTCAGAGAAACCGACAGGAAAAACCCTGCACAAAGTATTTAATTTCTCCTGCCTGTAAAACCAAGAATCTCATCTGGCACAGGAAACGATTTATGGTATTTCACTTTAACTCTCAGGTACCTTTGCAGAATTCTCTACCCAGTGTCATTCTACCATCAAAGAAGGCAATTCAGATTCATGGAGGACCTCAAAACCCTTGGAAAAAGTAGACACTGACAAACAGAGATGAAAGGGAAATGATGTTTTTTCAACATTAGAAACATTCACATAAGAGTATTTTTTTTTAAAGGTACTAACTCAGTAACTAGTTCTAGGAATGAAACAGTTCTCAGAGCCTCACAACCACTGCTATCATGGTGTAAGAGTTGCTCAGGTGCACAACCATTTTAGTGCAGAATCACCATTAAATAACTGTATGTATCAAAATTTTTGTTCTGTCACCATCTACTTTAACTGAAACGCAACGAGCTTAATGAAATCAGTGCATGTTCACATTTCGTAGAGGTAAGGACCATTACCAAAGGAAATTACTTACTCTGGAGGAGGCATTTTAGATGGTTCCACATCTCGCAGAAACTCGCACTGAAGAGCTTGTTCAGCTGTGCAGCGCTTGCTGGGATCCAGAGCAAGCATATAATCGAATAAATCTAATGCAGCTGGTGGGATGCTACAAAAGAGCAAAACCAAGAAAAGCATCACATTTTTATTTTCAATCACATACTTTGGTGCAAAATTTTAATAAACACATCCCTTCCAAAATAATTGATCATTAAGTCCTTGGATAATTTACATCCTAACAAAACCCACTCACAACTTGAGCTTGGTAGTAAGAGGCAGAGATAAACTTCACCTTTTATTACCTGTGCAAGCATATAACCCAAGTTTTCTTTGCTTTGTGTGGTTTAATTGCCTGAAACATTGTCCTTACAAAAAAAAAAAAAAAAAAAATCCACCTTTTTAAGCCAAGACTATATTGTTACTTTACACTTTGGAATTTAGCACCTGGGGAGCTGCAGTTTTGATTGGTCCATGGACAATAATTCTATTGCTTTAAAGATATAAGTCTCATTAGTACAAACAGGATGAGACATTTCTCCTGAAACCCACAGTAACTGAAGGAGGGGAACAAACCCTTTAAAATAATCTTACAGCTGTTTTCCATAACTTTCACGTGTGATATTTGCACAAAACTAGTCCGATGGTAGTACTTTAGAATACACAGTTCAGGTAACTTCTCTGTGTTGAATGAATTTATGACCCAAAAGACTGTAATGTTAACCAGACTACATATTTAGCTGTAGCCAGTTGTCCTAATAAAAAAACAATTAAGTACTCTGAGCTGTTTTTTGGACAGGGACAACAAGCAGGTGTACCAATCATGGAAAACAAATGTTTCCTTAGGTGAAAGCTGACAGGTGGCTGAAATTTTAGGGCCTTCTTCCCTCTTCTTGAAGCTCCTATTAAATAAGGGTTAATACAAGCTCTGTGGGTATCATGGGAAGGATAAGAACCTAAAGCCATTTTTCTTTACACTTCATCTATGTTCATTCTCCAGAAAATAGTGAAGTTCATAAAGTCTCCAGGAAAACTTAATGTTATTACAGTTGACTAAACTAATTCTTCATCCTTACAAAGCAAACTCTTCTCTCAGTTTTCGACGATACTGCTTCTTTGGTTTCATTGTGTTGAAATAAGCTAATTTTATAACATCAGGCCACACTGCTGGACAAGGACTCCCGCAAATTCGGCTGTACCAAAAAGAAGGGAAAAAAAGAGTATGAGATCCAAAACCACAAGTGAGCACAACTGTCATTTTATTCTTGCACGTACACTGAATACAAAAATATTTTTACTTTCAATGTTCAGGTTCTTTTAGCTAAAATTTCTCTACTGTCCAATGCCCAACACCATTAAATAATGGTGAATTGTCTACGAAAGATAATCACCCTGCACAGACTAAACTTACTTTAAGAAGTCCACTGTTTCTGCCTCACCCCGCCCCAGGCATCCTCCACACAAACGTTTGGAAAAACTTAACCAACTATGTCTGGACAGTACACCAGGTATTTGATTTGGAGAACTGGATAGCCCAGGTTTAGAGTGCTAATTAACTTTTATGTCCTTAACTCCCAATGCCAGTGAAGAAAGATAGACCAAATGTCTGAAAAAGCACTTTTCACTGAGAATTTAGCTGACACTGAAGACATAAGGGGAAATAAAAACCTCAGTAAGGCCTAAGGGCAGAAGTAAGATCCAACCACTAGAAAACCTGTATATTTTTTACTTGAGTTATGAGTTTTATGTCTGAAGCCTCATCTATCTCCACAGATAGAGTTGCCCATAGTCTTATTCCTCCCCCTCCATCCCCACCCATTTTGTCCAACCGAGGATGGCTAAGTACAGGTTGACCAACGCCACCTTCTGAGAACTAAAGAGGCATTTTACCTTACATGCAAAGTCTCAAACTCTGATGCAGGGAATCATAAAAGGACATCTTGCAAATACATTTCCCTAGTTCACCCCTCCCGTTTATTAGATTTAAGCGGTTAGTGTAAGAGACCTAACGATGTATTAGTTGTGCCCCAAATGCTATGCAAACCAATCTGACTCTACACTGGTTGGGGTATGTAACTTTCAGGATGGAAAAGAAAAACAATAAATCTATCTTTTCCTATCAGAATTTACTTCAGCCGTATCTTTGAACATTAAAGTTAGACAGGATAAATGTAGAATTGTTGACTGTAACATGATGGTGGTAGAGATGTTGATAAAATTGATATTACATTCAAACAGCCAAAACCGCATAGCATCAGTGAAGAGGAAAAATGAGCTACAAACAGGAGCTTCCAGCAGGAGAAGGAAATCGCAAAATTTTAGTTTGCTGTACCAGAGGTACAACACGAAGAGAAATAACGTCAAACGACTGCACTTTGGCATGCTTCAATGCCATCTAGTGCTCAAAAGCAAAAAATTCCCAAGTCACAGATTTAGTTCTCCTTGCACCAAGAATGACCACTGATACACTTCACACCTCCTAAAAACTTCATTTTTCCAGGCCAGCTAATAACACATTACACAGAAACACGCTACTGTTTAATCTGCTTCAAAAAACATCTCAATACATAACTTCGTAATATTTTTTTATTAATTTAATTTTTAAAATAATGTTGACCATTTACTGTTCAGGTTCTATAAGTTCTGTAGGACTCACCCTCTTTTCCCCTTGTTTCTAGGAAGAGGACCTCTCCTCACTTACAAGGTCAATTATGATATCAGAATCAAGAGCAATTTTTGCTTGCTGAATAAAGGGAAAAAAAAAGATGCTCTGGTTCCACTGAGTTATATACATATCATTCTATGATTTACTGAGAAAAGCAAAGAAACAGAATTTTTACCTCCATAAAGTGTCTGGCAGTTTGTAAGGGAACAGAAATATTCCCACAAAAAATAATAAAGCCCAGGTGTGTGTGTGGAAGGCTTGAAACAAGAACTCAAGGCCAGTAGCATGCCAAGTACCTACTCCTCCCAAATCCCACTTGTCCTTATTATTGTCCATGTTTTCATTTTGATTTGCTGCAAGGAAGTTGTAACATCATCTTAAAAAATAACGGGCATTTTGACTACTCTCTTTTTACAAATTCAGTAATAGGCAACTCCAGCTGCTCTACAAAAAACCCTGTTACTTATTCAACTCTACATTGCTAGGACCACAGAACACTCACAAAAAATCCTCCTCCGTGTCCGAGCAAAAGTCACTTGCTTTACATGCCCCACAAAACCTCTAACATCTCACTCCGGGTGATAACTGAGTACTTGTAAATGTTCGCAGTGCGTTATCTCCGATTTTAACAGTAACAAAAGAAACCTGACAGTTTATGAGAGACCTACTATGTGGTGGTGCTTGCAAGTTACCTTATAAGTTCCAGTTGAGCAAGTTCTTGATTTGCTTGAAATATTGGTTTTTTTGTAAAAAGTTCACCCAGGATGCAGCTGTAAAACAGTTTTGCACAATTCCATCATTATGGCTTTCGATACAGATTGATAGAAACATTTAAGATTTATTTTTGGTGTGTTTTATGCTTGCTACACTTCTGTACCAAACTCTTACCCACAGCTCCAGACATCGATAGCTGGTGTATATCTTTCTTCTCCAAGCAGAAGTTCAGGAGGCCGATACCATAATGTAATAACTTTGTTGGTATATGGTCGGCTGTTGGGGGGAGGAAAAAGAGAGGACTATCATTTTACTATGATCTCGTTTCCGAAAAAGTGATTCTTTGAGGACTTTACTTCTGTGGTGCTGTTTAAGAACAGTACAATCTTCCACTCCCTTTTCCTAATTCCAGCCCTGCAAAGCTGCAACTGCACAAAAGCAAAACACAACCATCTGACCAAGGCTATATCAAAGGACAGATTAAAGATATAAATAATAATCACATAGCCATCTCAATGTTATGTGAATCTTGTATCTCAATTATTAGTCAGATAGCAATACTGTATATTTATTACATTGCAGGTCATTTCAGGAGAAGGACCTGCTTGGACAAAAACAATTTCTGGGCAACTATTAATTATTAGAATACCGAATATAGGACCTCCACAAGCATTTTGAAAAGAAGAAAAAAAAAAAGTCACTTTCCCCTCTGTAAGTAGGGGCAAAAGAGACAAAGCCTTCTTCTTGAACTACATCCTTCAACAATTTTGATTCCAAAGCCTGTAATGCTTCTAATATCTTCCTATATTTCACAACATCTTTAATTCTCTACAGCTCTAACCAGACATTTTGGTCACTGGGAATAATCCTTTCCACCCTCACGCTAAGGCAAGGATTTCCACTATCTTAAACATGCATTTTTTTGTGGACAGGCCAAGATAACAGCATCAACAGTTCAGAACGGAAGGCAGAAAACAGATGTTAGGTTTTGGTTTTGTTTCAACCAGGGTGTCTTAAAAGTGACCCCAAAATTCTTTCAGTTTTAATAATTCACTCTCACCAACACTAGGTAAGTCCAAATAGAAAGCAGAGTAACATTAAGTGCAGAGTTCGAACAACCGTAGCATAAAGTCTAACAAGCTTTTATAACATACTCAGTGGTACAAGTATCATTTCTGCAAAATCATCTGAGTCTTTCTTTCATTAAGAAGCTCCCTAATTAATTTTTAAAATGTAGTATGTTTTTGGAAACAATCCCATCGTTTATCATATTTATCTCTGAAGCAAGCATTCCTCTAGGAAATGTTTACATAGTATGGACTTTCTCTACAGATACACCACTCATATATGTATTAGTATACGGTGTTTTTTATTTGAACAGATGTTTTCTTACACAATCTGTCATATCTCCTACTCCAAACATATTAAATCCACCAGAATAACATTTAAAGGAGCACAACTGCAACAACCAATGGGAATTTACTTAAAATTAAATTATTTCCTCCCCGTTATGTTCCTACTAAATTCTGTACCCTTTTGAAAAGTATATAATTCTAAACAACAGTAAAACAAACGTAAAATACATTAATTTAAAGCAGCAGTTATTATACACTTGTTGGTATACATTAATTACATCTGTTACTGCAGGTCAGAAGCTACTCAGAAGGAAAATGAATGACAAAAGAATTGTCAAAAATCTACTAATGAGATTCTAATTATCCTCTCACGTTCAACTGGCAATTCTATTAGCTAACATAATTACATTTTAATCTTGGTTTCATTTATGTAGGATGGTGTAATAAAGTTGCTGTTTGATGTATAGTAAAATGTTATTTGCACTATAAAGACACTTAACTTTCAGTCATTCAATTCTTAATGAACAGTTAGTTTTACAAGCAAAATTTACATTAATTTAGAAACAGACATAAAAAAAAATGGTGAACCAGAGGAAAAAAAAAATAGGACAGTTTGGTGCATGTTAAAATAAGAAGGTAGGATGGCATCAATCCCTTTTATTGTAAGTATATCCAAAACAAAAATTAATTACCCAGCAGGTGCTTAAGATTATCTTACCCTGTTACTATACTCAATAGTTTTCATAATTGTACTTAAGCATATGTTCCTGAAATAACAGCTCAGAAAACAGTGAAACTAATGCTATCAGGTTCAACAACAAGCTCAGAGCTCTGTGAGAAAACAATACTCATAAAGCTAACATTATGGATATCATTTCCCAAATTAGGCACACAGAAATCAAAGTAAGCTCAGGTAGCTAATATTCTCTGTATCCAACCACCCGATGTACATACTGGTGCAATGCACATTCAGCCTGAATTTTGAAAATCCAGTTCCACATGACAAACACATGACATTACAGTATAAATACTGAAATTCTTAATCATAAAAACTGTGCACCTGTTTCCTGGAGTACAAGCATAATGAAGCCAAGAACAACAGAAGCACAAGTCATAAGAAGTTTCAGAATAACTTTTATTTAAACTTGTATCTCTATTTCCAGCAGATTCAACAGCACTGACTGCCTAAAGAATACAATGAACCTCTTCAAATGTAAGGTTAAAGCTTACACAAAAGTAATGCTTTTTGAAAAGAAACTGTATGCTAATTTGTGTCAGCAAAAAATTGTTGCTTTCCCTAAATAAACTTTTCCTGGGTACACCAACAGAAAGCATATACTTTAGGTTTACAGGACCAGAAACTAGTAGTAAAAACCTACATATTGATGCAACCTACTTAGGACTGCAACTCTTCATTTCCAATCAATATATGGCCACTCTCTACAGTTATTTATCCAGAACACTTGGAAAAGCAATACACTTGCACAAAGAGAGTTCTGTGGTTTTATGCAGTGTAAGACAACATGCACTTCTTTCCATTTCCTAAGCAACTACTTGTATTACAGTACAATAACATCTCCTCTAAAGAAAACAGTCTTCTGGCCCTCATAATACTTAGAGTTATGCAAAAACATTAAAATCCTGAATGCTTTTTCACTGTATAATTATATCTTACCTTTCTTCAGAGTTGTACAGCCGAGCAAGCCCAAAATCTGCAAGCTTTATCTGCCCTCTGGTGGAAAAAGCAAAGAATTATTTAGTGGCTAATCCTGTTAAAGATTTCCTCCCCAAAAATCAGGTGAAGTCTGAGATTTTGAGACAGCTGCAACTGATCTTCACCAAACCACACTAATGAGGAGGCAACGCCTTACAATCTATGCATCTCTTCAGTAAACAAATACAGTAACTTACTGAATAGCAAAGACAAGTAAGCAAAATTAGGTATGCTCATCAAATGGCATTGACATCATCGGATGTTAGTCAAAATTTAGGTGGATACTGTAAAGTATTCAAATCAGTAACTCTGCAGGAAAAAAAGTGAGGCAGGAAACTGCTATTTTCTCATGCCTTACTGCTAGCATAAGCTTTCGTACAACAAACAACTACCAGCAGTCATACTTCCTTCTAGGAAGCCGTCAAAGTCCTGTTCTCCTCTTGTAAAGTTTAAATACGGCCTTTAAATCAGGGTGACCGACCAGATAAGGGCTTCTATTTTTGCCAGCAGCCAACTTGCTGAATGACACGACCCCTAACCCCTTCTTGAGTTTTCCCATATATGAGGGGAAGAGTAGAAGATACAGAGCTCTTGCCTGGCAGTTTCCACAGCTAAAAGGCACTGCTCAATGACCGGAGGCCCCCATCATCTGTAAAGTCTGGCTGATTTAAAATGAAATCTGTCTGCAAGCTTCTCTAATACATAAAATGAATGTTGGAATGTTACACAGGGTTTTTGTCTTCCTGTACTTGTGAGCTTTTAAAACTCCCGTCACTTTCAAATACGTGCAAATGTCACTTTGAAGTAAATTTTATTTTATCAAATTAGGGCAAGATTTGCTGATGTGTGTAAGAATGACCATTTTGTGATAATAAAATATACAGGTTATAGTTTCCATTCCATTTTTCCCCTCAGATGTGTGCTTGAAATTGCTGTAACACTTGGAGAACCCCCATAAACAAAGAAATGTTCCCCTCAAATTTACATGCTTACTCCTCAAAGAGCCTATCTGTGGAAGATCAATGAATTTGTGAGCAAAGACATTTAAGCTGCATAACTAAAATATATATAATCCATGTGTTTGGCTTCAGGCTGTAACTGGTAATGGGATTTTAGAAACATTGGCTTAAAATTATTCAGATCAACTATCAACTTTTTCTTCCAGTGGAAACGTCTAAGAATGCTCAAAAGATGTCCTAGGGGAAAACAACTCTGTATCCTGGACTGGAGAGAGCACAGTAAAACAGAAAGCTCCACCTCTACCATAACGCGCCCTTCTCCACTGCCAGGTTACACCTCAGCTTCTGAGCTCCCAAAGGTGCACAGAGACAGCACCACCACTGGAGATTAGCAGGTAAGCAAGATCAGGTGTGTGGGCACAGTGAGTGACGTGGAGGTATGCGTACATCTGTTTAACAGTCTATATCATAATCTGGCAAGACTGAGGTGGGATCCAGAGCTGAAAATAGTCTAATGTTAGTTTGTTATAAGAAAAAAAGGAGGAGAAAATGGAAAATTTAATTCGGAGAAATCTGGGACAAAACTCGGGCCCTACCAAAAGGGACCCTTGATCCATTTTGCCCAGTATTTCGTCTCCGACAGCAGCAGTAGATTTTTAGGGAGAAAATGTGAACCTGCTCACTTTGGGGCTCATCTTCCTTGTATTTAAGCACCACCCACAATCACTGTGTTAAGGATGCTAACACAGGTATTCCTGTCTGTTCCCTTTAGCAGGTATTAATGATCCTGTCCATGAATGTATCTCATCTATTTGAATCCCCTGACACTACCTGGAAAACCTCCTGTGACAACAAATCCCAGAAGCTGACTACCCTGCTCTGTAAAGATACTCTTTTTTGCTGTTATAAACCTCGCTCTTAGAGTTGCTCCCTGGTTTTACTGCTGCTGGGTTTGATGAACAACAGTTCTGTACTGAAGTCATGTGCCATCTTCACACAGGTTTTTTTATTTGCTGCTGTTGCACACTGAACAAAAGCATGTTTACTAATATGATTCGTAATTATGAGTGGTTAAAGAAGAAACAAATTCTTCTCCCCATTTGATTATGGCTATAACTGCAAGCCAAAGCATGTTTGAACATGCCTCATCGAATATTCTTTTAAAGCATTATCCTGACTGATGAAGATGACCTCAGGATTATGTCATGAAGAACCAGCCTAGCCACACTCCATCTTGAAATGAGATGGCAAAAAGAATACACATTGAACGCTTATGTTCTAAAATTCTATTTTAATACATTTGAACTCAGATAGTTTTCCCCCATACTCTGACCTAAAAGATTCAAGTCTTAATCCTGCTGTTTTAACACAGATAAGTTTAACAAACAATTGCAGGATCCAGTGTTAAGCAGTAACATTACCTGATCAGTATTTTACCATTGATTTTAAAGAAACTAGGCAATCTAAAAAAAAAGTTTTGCTAATGACTTAAAGCAGGTGAACTATGAAGATTAAAAGACTTAAAGATTTTGTTAATATACAATTTTTTTTTTTTACATACGTTAAGTAACATCCATACCTATTATTTAGTAGAATATTTGAACATTTGATATCTCTGTGCAAAAAGTTCTTCTTATGGCAATAGGCTAAGCCCTCCATCAGCTGTCTCATAAAAGATTTAATATGATTTTCATTAAAATGAACCAAACCAGATTCCAGCAGTCCCATCAAGTCATGGTCCATATATTCAAATACCAGGTAAAATGCACCTAGGGAAAAAAAGGGAAAGAAAGGGAAAAGGTAGGAGAAACAGAGAGAGAGAAATTGATTTAATAGCAGTCCAAAGCATTGCTGCTGCCTACTTTTGAAAGTCGGAAGTATTTTTCATACAACTGTTTACATTTTCTGCAATATCTGCATTATTAGCTGTACCTCATGTCCAATAACAGCAGTGAAATATAGTGCGGTAAAATGTTTTCATAGAATTGCTTTTCCACGTAAACAATTATACTAATCAAATGTTTGTGAAAACAAACATAATGCTACCACATGGCGCTTTAATCTAGATGGACGTGTCCTCTCCATATGGCTCTCAATCTCCATCCATTTTATTTAAAGAAAAATTAACTACGTAACTAAGTCCCTATGTAAAGTTTGGGGAGAAATCTAGAAACAAAATATGTACAGCATTAATTCATCTGTCATGATTTGGTGACTGATTTTTTTAAGCTTTCAGTGTAGACCTGGGTCAGAAATAAGCCTGCCCTTCTCAGACTAAAAATACCTACAAGACAAGGCAAAACGAGAAAGCAGAACTAACCTACTAGCAACAGCAGCTCTGCAAAGACGGAGTTCATATTCCAAGTTGCCACACACATACACTAAGCATAATAGAATCTGGTCTTATCTCACATTAGCCTGTGTAATTCCACAAATAAAGCTATTAAAGCCAAGGCTCCCCGATATATATATATATATATATATATATATATAAGCTGAGTGCTTCAGAAGCAGCAATAACCGCTCTCCAGCACAACCACTCTCAGTACAATCTACTTTTTAGTACTTAATTCTTCCCCTTCTTCTTAACTCTGGGGCAGAGAAGACCGTGCAGTCCCTACAAAGCACTGGTGGCAATGCAGAAACCACATTCAAGTGGGTCTCTCTACCTTCCGTTTTAAAAAGCCTCCCCCAAAGAGATTTCAAAGCCACCACTCTAAAGCACAAATAGCTTCTGCCCAACAAGACCTCATTACAGGTTCTAGGTCCTAAATAAGAAGTTTCCATTCAGAAGCTAGTGAGTGTCTTGGAGCAATAATGAGAACTCAGCTTGCCAGAACGTATACACACGCGCACACATGGCCAAATTCTAATGAACTGACTTGTTTTCTTGCATAGTAGCTGAAAAGGGAAGAAAGAGTGCTAAATCCATCTGCTATTCAACAAACAGAAAAAAGATTACTCATACAGTAAGTGTTAAACTTGTAACAAAGATCAGCGTAGAGCAGCTAAACCACAGGCCATTGCATAAGACACTCAGAGCTCCTTGTTTTTAATTTAGGTCCTTTTGTCCTGCTGTATGTTATATGGAGGAAGCAAAATACTGATCATAAAATACCCCCGTTGGTGTGTACAGAGGAGGTAGAGCAGGAGGTAAATCAAGCAGGTACAACCCAATCCCAACACTTCAAAAGGAAAGAAGGAAGCATTGACAGCCATGAAGAACCACAAGGCTGCTGCGTTACTGTTTGCATAACTGAGTTCACCAATGCAGTTCACCAGTTCAGCATGGTAAAAGCACAGAGGCTCCTAATCTTGGTCTTTTAAAACAAGATAGTTGGCAACCTGGTGTTAGGTCTACTTCACTGATAACTGCTGAGGTATGAACCACGACATATTTATAATGCCTTGAAACAAGCGACCTGATATTAATGCTGCAGTGCCAGAATCATCTAGATATGCCCTTCAGAGGATGTCAGCTCAACAAAACTGAATACCAATCATCTTGGTATCTTCTTGCTCTGGAATACAATGGAAAGTTAACTCCGTCATGGCAGCAGGCTACACTCTGTGTGTACATGACAAGGAGAAAGACTAGGAAGGGTCAGTGGGGTTGCAGACCTGTTTAATGAGAACAGCTGAACACAGTCTTCTTGTTTATATGCAAAGTAGCCTCCATGCCTTGAGCAATTTCCTGCTCTGCCACTAGCTCCCAGGATTTTTCACCACTATTTATAACCAGCAATCACAATTGGTACCCTCACGCAAGAAGGAAAGCCGACAACAATGGAGACAATTCATAAATAAAACAGAGTAGTACCTGGGAGATGACATCCGATTATTTATATTCTCTGCAACTCATCATTAAGAAACATACACGAGAACAGTATAAACACTAAACATTCCCTCCATATCAGAGCAAGAGCAAATGCACGGATCCATTACACTTGTGCATTACTACCTATTTATTACCTACATATTATACAATGTTAGAATATGTTTTAAAAAGAAAAACTGTCAAAGCTGGATCTTCTTCTTTGGTTATGAGAAACTATGAAAATTAGTCTACTAGCCTTGGCAGTCTAACCATTTAAACCTGATTTTCAGTATTTCTAAAACTATACTTGGAAGTGATTGTAGCTGCAAAAAAGGTATCAAGCAAACTGAAGTGAAACTTCTGTTAGTTTATTTCTAGGCAAACGTGGCGCCCTTTTCGGATAGAGATCTACAGTTTCGGTCAACAAAACAGTTATGTTATTCCACTTGATCATTTCAAATCTCCATTGCTTTTCATCAGATTGGGGGATGTGATCCTTCATAACAGGGAAAGAAGCTATAGATATTCAGGAAGAAGAAGAGTCATGGAAGACTTCACAAGTGAACTATGCGCAGGCAGAAGTCTGCTTACTACAGCATACTCTGAGTTCGAGTTTATAGCGTCCTTTAGTTCAATGAAAACAAATGCCACACAAATATCGATTTCTCAGAAGGGAAAACAAAATAGAAGAAATTGTTCTTTCCTTCATGAGGCCAAGATGTTCAATAACTTGGAGGTTACGTTTTAAAATGACCCCTTGTTTCGTGCTAGCTTTGCCCAATATCCACATTCTGGAAGCACTGTCTTAAAAACACCTAAAGCTCTGTTACAGTAAAGCGCATGCAATTCACATGAACCCAGAATTACTCATTTGACTTTAACTTTTACTGCTGTTATGTTAAAGACCTGCACTTCCCAGTAAGTAAGTACCTGAGGGGTGGGAGGCAGCCTACAGTCCATCTCCGCATGCTGCAATAAAGCACTAAGAGGGGCTTTATGCCTTGGGTGCCCAGTTTCCTTTGCTAATACCACACAGCTCATCTCCATTCCTTCATCTACTGAGATAATAAGAAACCTTAATGTCACTGCATGTTGACGGAGCAGCAGCTGGAACAGCTGAACAGTGGTAATATTGCCTGCTTCTGAATATGGGATCAGAGATAGCAGCTGAATCTATTAGGAAGGTACACAATAAATAAAGGAGACTCACATAGATGGAAACAATCCTTGCCTTACTCTTTTTGTTTGCACTTATAAAAATTTACCTTTTTGACCATTTTGTCATTTAAGATTGATAAGGGTCAGAAAGTGAGATACTGGTTTCGAATAATTAAAGGATTAACACATCTCCTCCTCCTGCTCATATCTTTCAAGTCATGGAGCCCTAACAGTAGTAGTTTTCTTAACCGAGACACAAAATGAGCTGGGATATAACGTTGCGAAGCTATGCATACAAAATGGGTAACTCAACAAAACATGGCACTGATGATCTGTAATGAAGGATGATTTTCTGAGGGGCCAAAAAAACCTAACAAAACATACTTTGCATTTTTGTGACACAGGCAGGCTCTGGATTTTTTTGGACTGTCATCAAATCACACAGATCCAACAAAGCAGGACATCAAGCTACACATTTGTTCCCAAAGTAAGATGCAAGTGCTTTGGGCTGGGTGGGGCGGGCGGGCGGGAGCAGGAGGTGAGAATGATCCAAAAGCCTACATAGATCACAGCTTTTAAGCAAGTATTTTCCAAATGTAATTTCATAGGGAAGGTGTTTGGGGTTTCTCAAAATATCTGATTAGATACAGATCAGAGGAACCAAGAGACCAGAAGTGCCGCCTTAGGTGCAAATTTTAATTCAATCCTTGTATAAATGAATTACAATAGTATCTTGAAATACAAAAATGCTTACAAAAAAAAAAAAAAAAAAAAAAAAAAAAAAAAAAAAAAAAAAAAAAAAAAAAAAAAAAAGAAGATCCCTGCCTCGGTTAGTGCACGGTATGTACAATGCTGAGTTGCTGAACAGGTTTTCAACATTTCATTCTGTACTTACTGTTCAGAATGAGACTCCATCAGATTTTCATTTCGCTAATAAGCCTCCTCAGCTTCTTCTATGCAATACATAGATTTTTTTCCCCCCCCTTGATTGATTAAAGATAATTGGATTCTATTTACTTTTCTATTTCCTTAACATTTCTCTTCCAGTACTCATGACAGACTATATTCCAAGACAGTTTTAAAAAGAATTTTACCAAACGGAGCTTGAAAACTAAAGAAGTTGTCCAGCAATTCCTTGAAGTTCCTTACACTTAAGTTCCTTAAAGTCCCTTAAACAGGCATTCATCTTTTCTTTCTACTCACGTTTTACAAACCTATTTTCTAATTTGCAAAACAGCAAATAAAGGCATGGCCACTGAATTAATCACCTTAAGACTAAAGAACACATCACTGCTATACTCATTTTTCCATTTAAATATCACAAAACTTATTGTTTAAGACAAATTTAGTCCTTTTCCCCCCCCTTTTTTTTTTTACATTTTCACCCAATATTAAGTTTTTGTTTGATGACAGTGTTATTCTCCCATTGCAAGTTCAACTGCATTCTCCTCTTGAAACAAATCCAACCCAAACTCCATGTACATGGAAACATGTTCTGAAACAGGCATACAGAAGCCCCGGGAGTAAATACTGTCCTTGTGTCATCACATACTACAGGGAAATAAGAAACTGAACAAAAAACTTGAAAGCAGAGGAAAAGTAAACAAACCATATCAGAAATCTTTGATTAATAATCAGGGATTTTTCTCATTTTGCCATAACACGGATCAAGTTGAAAAGCCACACAATTAGGTCTGCACTCATTCCAGACCAGTGTCCAGTACAGCGCACACAAATGGGAAGCGCCACTCAAGTGGTCGCACCATTCCTGATAACTTAGCTGTAGCATGAAAACTCTTTGGGTAAGAAGTTTCTATCCGCTATTTTGTGAGCAGCAAGGCAAGCTGTAGATCAGAGGTTTCTGAAATTCAAATCAGTTTGGTTTTACTCAACTTCCCAGGAAAACCGGATAAAGCTAGCTATGATACAAGTAGGGAAGGAACCCTGTAGTGAAGTACTCTCTGATGACTACACGATTGCTGTCACAGCCTCCTTCCAAACCACAAGCTTTCGGACTAAGCACTCCTTGACAGCCATGAGAAAGTAACCTGCTAGTCATACGACAAGGTACAACAGTCAGTGTCCTTTTGACACGTGTACTACAGTACTGTAGAGATATATACCGATTTCATGTCTAAAAAGGTTTGTTAATTTGTACTGCAAATCAATTCAAAATTTAATCTATCTGAAGTAAACTTAGATCTTAAAATGAATTACAGAAACACACACAATCCAAACAGATAATCCACGCACAGAAAAAAAAACCGCTGAACTGTGATGTTAACCACATCTTTTTTATTAGAGTCTCCCATGCAAAGTTTTACATCCTCCCTTGGGTTAGCAATTAAAAATGCCTCTTCCAGTCAAAAGGAGGAAGAGATGTCAGTCAGTGCATCTACTGGTTTTATATTCACAGGAACAAAAGCTAAGTCAGGCACTCTCCACGTGTTTAGTAAAAAGAGATCATGGCAGTCCCATAGCTAGACTGTTGAGCATTTGCAACAGCTTGCAGCTGATAAAGAGGCAACTGAGAACTGAAGGACCATCTCAGGTGCCCAAAGGAAAGAGAGAGAGACACCTAAGTCATACAAATAACAGACTCACTGAGTGAGTCTCAAAACAAACCAGAGCTGACAAAAGGCCAAAGTAAAAAAGGCCTTTTTTCCAATGATTCACTTTATAACTGATGAAGTGGCTCGACTAACGTAGCTTATGAGGTGTATAGACCTAGGAAATAGCTCTTGGTTTTCAACTTCTGTTTTAATTCTTGTTTTCTTCAATTGCTGTTGCACAGGGAACGTCACACAAACTTTCTCAAACAAAAAAAGCCCCAAACACTAACAGAAGATGAAGGGCTTCTGCAAAGTACAATCCTCCTGCTCCAAAAGGACATGAACTGAAGTTCATGAACGTGAACTCCAATTAATTTGAGCCACCGTCAAGCAAATAAAAAGGAAAACTGAAGGAAAGTTTAGTTGCCAGCAGACTTGGTTGTAAGCACCAACAGTGTCAGGCTGCTTCTACTACTGTCGAAGACCGACACCCACAATTGCTCCTGCACTAGCTCACTAGAAGAAAACGTTTCCAACAGAAATAACCAGAGTTATGAGATTCTAGGAAAAAACTGAATGGAAACTATAGCTCATCGGTGCTGTCAAGTCAAATGAGGCTTTATGTCCTGAGAGAAGCAGAGGAGGTTTTAACAGTACGTTCAGCAGACTTTAAAAAAGTCAGCTGTTATGCAGATACACGCACAAGAGAGAATACAAACTATGAGTCATGTCTTCCCATCCCCAAGCCTTTGTGTTCACCTATCTCCCTCTGAATGATAGGGAGGGGAGAAAAGCCCACATGAGAAACATACAAAAAACATACACCTTTTTACCTGGCAGGATCATGCCTCAGAACAAAGATGTTACATTACCAATTAGTAATCAGTAATGCCGTTCTCCAACTTTATCATCAAGCATGTCTCATACGTAATGAAGACTGCAAAAGTAAAAACTTCAGATCCTCAGTATAGCAGACCCACAGACTCAGCTGCGTATGTGCCCGACCTATACAAACAATTGTGCTGTCTGATGTGCTGTATTTCCACTGATAGAAATACCCTTATAACATATGTACAACACCGCTTCGGTGTGTTACGTATCTTTTTCTAATGGTTGGTCGAGAAAGAACAAAACCAATCCTATCTATTAAAGCTGTTCCTATCATTAAACTTACACTGTAAGCTGGCCAGGATAAAACACAGATATACTTTTCTTCCACTTTCTTTAAAAGTAAAAGGCTGTTGAAAATATTGAAACAAGTCAGATACTCAAAAGTTTGGAAGACATAGGATTATGTCACTTGAAAACATGTAACATAGCTCAAAGTATCAGGACAAAGTTGTACAAGCCAAGCCATTGCTGGTTTGCAAGCCAATGTTACTATCCTAAAAAGCATCCTTAAAACAACTACTGTACAAAGCGTGCCCAATATTTACACAACTGTCAGAAAACTAAATTTGCTGCATTTCAAACTACCAAGATCCATCTAAAAAAACCTTAAGATGAGTAATAGGTCAGGATATGATAGGTGTCCTTAGACACAAAATTAACTTTAGTCATATTAACTAGAGGAACATGTGTTGGCAGAAATGTTCTCAATTCCCTGCTTTTCCAAATGGGATATCAGCAGGGTTTTGTAAGAGCTGTATTTCAAAGCTAAGATAAGCATATAACATATGTTAAGCATAAGCATGTTCATCAGAGGGCACTCCACTTTGCTTCTCTGAGTAAGGCATCACTACCACTTTTATAATGGTTCCTTCTTAAGCCAAGCAGCCTACTTTTGCTTTTGCAACCGTGAAAACGACCAAACTTCCTCCAACTTGCATTCATTCCCTGCGTAGACTACAATTTGGCCACAATGTCTTAGCTATAAATCCCCATCTCACAATTAATTACTCATTAGAGAAATGCAGAATGCAGTGCCTGGAAAAAAACAAACAAACGAACAAAAAAACCCACCAAACAACTTCCATCTTTTCACAGACAAATCATAATAGCACAGTCTCATTATCATGCTAATACTTTCAAGAGACTATCAGAAACTAATTTTATTCTAGCATCTCCAGAGAAGCCCCTTCCCTTCCAAATTTTCTGAAAATGTAATTGTTGTAATAAGCTGTTAAGTAAGAATGAGAAATTAAATTGAAAGCAATATCAAAAAGCACAAGTACAGACTTGGACAAAAAAAAATACATTTGAAGTTAGAAACACACAGTTTGAAGTACACAAAAAAAAATCAGAATTCAATCCTAGACACTGCACCAAACAGAAAGGGAGAAAATTAATTAATGAGTCATTAAGTATTAAGTCAAGGCTCAGTGTGGTCTCATTAGCCAAGTGGGTTAGACCTAATTAAAACTCAGTACAAGATTCACATGAAAAGCCTAAACTGGCTGTTGCAGACTGTCAGGGTTCAGAGTGGGTGCTGACCACTGAACCTGCACATTTCTAGAGAAACTCTTTTGCTAGCTGCTTCCTACTTTTAAACACAATTAAAAAGCCTGTCAGTGCTGTATACCCTTCAAGGTATTGTACTTCCTAAAGATGTTAGGAAAAAAACCCGAACTAATTCCTGCTTAATTTTGACAGCCATTTTCTGACTTATCACAACGTCACCTGGTGTTTCTGCTGGCTACACAGTACATACGGTGTTTTTGACCTGCAGTGGTGCCAGGCATGCTGCATAGAAACTCAGGCAGGGAAGGAGGGAAGAAGCACAGGTACCACATTCCAAACACCTTCCTCAGCCAAACCATGTATCAAACTGCCCACAGGACACTAACATTCCCCAAAATGACAGGTTTATAAGACTTGGGCCTAAAAGGAAACGGCCTCCAAAGACAAAATGACCACTCCAGTATCAAAAGTACCAAGCAACAACACTGCATGATTTCTACTCTGTCTGCTTGATTCTCTAGGCTAAGGAGGTTGCAGTAACTGAAATAAGCCAGGCTTAACACTGAAGGAACCAAAAGAGTAAAAGCCTGCACGCCTTCTATTTGGGGAAAAACACCACACCACACAAATCTTGCTTTTCATTCTTTTCATTTATCCTTCTAGCGTCCAAGACACACATGCCCATTTATGAAAAAAAATAACTGAAGCACGCTTCAAATAAAACCAAGGCCTACAATGAGCCTACAATACTCTAAATTATACAATAAAATACTACAAGGAAAATAAAAGGCTAAAAAAGCTCACAATTAGGAGCTTCCTATTGTTGCTGGCCTCCCTAATCCGTGACTGTCAAGGAATGAAACATCTGTTCCTCTCCAGCAAAACTGGAATCAAGTAATAATTATTTTTTATCCCACAAAATGTTCACAAGAATGTTTCTATGAGCAAAACACATAGCTGAGTTAAATAAAGGGCTTTTATTAGTAATTAAATCAAAATTAAAATCCCTTGTCAAACATCATGATTTGTAAACATATTTTTTTAATTAATCTTCAAGTCCAGTGTAGCAGACTACTATATTAGATATAGTATTACAATACCAGAAAGAACTACGCATGTGTTAGCGTACATACCTTTGTCCTTCTTGAAGTCCAAAGCATCTTCCTTATCTGTCACTATTTCCTTCATGTTGATAATGCTTTGGTGATTAAGCTGTCGAAGAATCTTAATCTCCCGAATAGCTGTAATTGGAAACCCTTCCTTTTCATTGTCCAGCCGTACTTTCTTTAGTGCCACCATTTCCCCTAAAAGACAATTTAAATAAAAAACATTAACAACCAAACTATGGGATTTAGTATTGAGTTTGCTTCTTTGTTTTTAAAACCCTTCCCATTTGTTACTATTTCTGAATGGATTAAATAGTTAACTTTTTGATGCTTGCACCAAACACTATGCTGAATGGAAACATAATTAACCATTGTTGGGAAACAATCACATGGAGCAGCACAACTATAAATGAGAATTTTCTGCTACCTACTGTAAGTCCTGTCTTCTTCCTCCTGCATGCCTCACTCACCTGTGTCCTGATATTCCACACTGGGTCTATCAATAAACCCCCATATAAGAATGATTACCAACAGCAACTTTAGAGACAGAGGCCTACGTTTGCTCTGGATTTCTTATTACTACATCACCACAGCCAGAAATACCACGAAGTCCAAGGTATGAGGCAGACAAGTAAAGAGTTCTCAAATTCATCAGTATACTTTCTACAAACAGAAGGGTCACTCCATGTTTGCAGTGAGGAGAGATTTTCCTCATTATTTTACTGCAGGCTGGGCTGGATGAAGACAGATTCTGCAACATGGCAGGAGCATCATCTACTCATGATGGAGGATATCTAACGACTGTATGGCAGCTCAACCATTTTGTTCTGGGAAGTTTATTGACAGCACAGATATCTTTGTTAGCTCTAGAAAGCACTTATCCTACACCGGTGTACATGATACAAATACAATAGATCACACTGCAGTATGACACAATGTCCACTTGCTTTGAAAGCCCATTGCACAGCTTGTTATAAGGTATCTCGAAGGCTATAATGGCTCTCTTCGCACAGGATTTGAATCCAAAGCTAATGCAAGGTTTGTTATAACTCTATGGACCCATTCAATACAGAGAGCGACAACTTCTGCTGGAGGTTAAGAAATGACTGCCATACACAAATAACCTGAAGCTTGCCAAGCAGGAAATATGGTTATGGTAGGATTAAAAAGTTAAATGTGCGAAGAACCGAATCACAGGAGAGCAGGAAGAAGCTCCTCACAATGATTTGCAATGGTTCCCAAGACAGGAGGTAAAAAATACAATCTGTGGCAGTTCAACTTAAGAACTAAAGTTTGCAAACTGAGAGAAGCACAGGTGAAGAATGAATTATAATTACATTACTCATTCTTCTGGAGATCAGAAAGAAGGAACTGAGGCTGGTATGTGATCCTATGTGATTCAGTTACTGCTGAAGTAGAAAATTATCCAGTATTCAAAACATGCACAAATAAGCCGGAAGGGTGAGCAGTCACAGAAAGGACTACAAATTGAACATAAAACCATCAAGCAACATACAACACATACGAAGAATCAGTTTCAATGCATTATCTATTTAGAAGTAGTGACAACATTCTTATGTATCATAGTGGTAACTGCTTGCTCATTTGAGCAATAGTTTAACATGAAATTTAAAAATTATCTCACTGTTGTAACGTCAGTTACACTGCAGAAAAATACCCAATATGCAACGCTTCAGGGTTGTGTTGCACAAAGGCACATTCTCTTCCTACTATCAGCTAGTGACTATCAGAGATATTAGAGGGCGGAATATCACAAATTTTACTCAATATGAAAACAAAACCAAAATATCCTGTTCACTTTAGAATTGTAAAATTAGAAGTTACTTTTTTGAACTTACCTGTGTCTTTATCTCTGGCTTTGTAAACTTGTCCATAAGTGCCTTCACCAATAATACCAATGATATCAAATTTATCCACGCAGCGCTTTCCCCAGTCTATTTCTTTTTCTTTTGTTTCACCATGTCGTGGTCCACATATTCTAGAAAACAACAAGCATTTCTAAGAATACAGCTAATATACCTAAGGATTGTCTTAACCTTGAAAAAAACCTCAACACTGAATATTTATGAGACATTATTAGATAACTGGCTTACTACCATTAAGTGGCAATAAACCATGCAGTTTGATTCAAGTCTCATTAATACTAAAAAAGTCATTAAAAAGCAGAAACATTTTTAAAAGGATATATTTTAAAGAAACTATTATCACTTCTACTTGCTTGATAGGCTTTAAAAAAAAGTCTAATAAACATACTTTGGTCTTCTCTTGCTGTGTAACTGAACTGCTGGTTTCTTTTCTTCAGGACTTTTGGATAAGTCAGCTCCTCCAGGCAATTCAGGTGGAAGTGGCAAGTCTGCAAGCAGATGGCGAAGTTTCTTCTCTGCTTCTTTAACTGACTTCACAGAAAGATTCTCTCGCAAACTATTAAAAAAGACACAATTTTCCTAATAAGTTGAACACAGTAGAATGATATTAACATACATAAAAGAAAACCTATGGGAATTAATTTTTTAAAATTCATTCTAGGCTGTATATGCATCAACATTTGAAATCTCTGCTCTTAGAATCTGCAGGACTTTGATTTATGCTTTACAAATGGCTCACAAACAGCTCTCTGAAAGATGCACAGCTAACTACCAAAATTCTACAGAAACTATGAAATCAGATCTTTCTGGTGAAAGCTGAGGTTAGATGACACAGGAAGCCTTACCAGGCCAGACTTCCTCTGCCACACAAGCTTTTTCTCAAGCTTATGGCCTAGACTACCAAGAATATTTAGAGCTCAGGTGCTGCCAGACATGAGAAGTGTAGTTCTAAAATCTGTACCCTGACTGACTTCTAATATAAAAGAGAAGATTACCCTAATCCAGTTCACTATAATGTTGCTCTCCAGAGATAATGAGCTTCGTGGTTACAGTAACACTGCAGTGCATTACGAGGCAGCCCATGCCACCTCATTTACAGATTCCAATCTCATACATTTGCTGAAACTCTCCAGATTCAACGTTTCTAGTGATGAGCATGCAAATCAAGTGAGGGGAGAAAAAAAAAATCAGATGAAAAAATGACTAATTGTTTTCTGCCATGGGTTACTGATATCTGACCATTTTTAAATCATCAACCATAATTAGGTAGCAGATACTGACAGTCAATCTCTGTCTTGAGAAAAATCCCCCAAACACATGTAATGTATTCCTTTAACAATTACTACACACAATAATTCTAGAGACTCCCTTCCCATTCTAAAAGGGAAATTCTGAAACCATCATACTTGCTGCAGAATATTTTTTTTTTAACACAGGGTTCCATTTTACCAGAACTTCCTTTAGTTTAACTAATTTGTGCAGCCACTACATATCCAGCACTTTTAAAGCCACGACCATCTCTATATAATTACATAACTGTTTCTCCCTCACAGGACTCTCACATAGTATTCGCTCTTTAAATTTCAAACTTTGCCATTGCATCAAGAAAACTTTCTGTCATGCTTTGAGGAGACATTTTCCAAGATAGCTGGATTTGCCAAATTACACTATTCTACTGTCAGCATCCTTCTCTGGGAACCTTTTCTGGAGGTTTTTCTGCAACTTCTCATCTACTTAGTTTAACAGATAAAGCAGGAACTTCTATAAATGGAAAGATCTTGCTATCTTCCATCAAGGAGAATGCATAGTTTCTTTCTTACATTAAATGCAATTACCAATCTTTATATAATTAAATAAAGCATTCCAGTGTTTTGCGTTTGTCTATGCTTCCCCATGAAAACAGAACACTTGACTGTCTTCTACCGCTTCTCAAGCTGCCACTGCCTGAATTTAAAGAGGCATCTCAAGGAAGCACACACTGCCCTCATCACAAACATAATGGTTAGCATGCTATAAAGAATAAACCACCTTTGGACAGCACGTGTAATTATCATGGTAAAGAAAAATGCTTAATTTTGAAGTTAATATATTTGTATTTCTCTCACAATTTTACCCACAAACTTGCAATATTAGTGAAAGTACAATATATGAGAGGTTCTGAAACAGATTTTAAAAGTGGTACATAAAAACAGAGGCAGTCGAGAGCAGCCTTTTTTTCAGGCCTGTTAAATCACACATCATTGACCACCGCAACAGTTTTTCCTTTTCAGCTAAACTACACAGTGGTTTTGCAACACTGCTGTTCCTTTAGGTAGTTTATTTGTGGGTTTATCAGATTCTTACTAAACTTCACAAACTGACATGACATTAGGAACCAGCCAGTTCTGCATAGCACCAACCTTTCTTTGTTGGCACAATTTCCCCGTAGTAATTCTGAGCCCAAGGTAAATACCTTTGCCCTCCTCCCCCGTAAAAAACACTGATCATTTTTCTTTGATGACTTAAGCTTTACCATGACTTGTAATCACAACCATTCTGATATGAAGTTTATAACATCCTATAGGCAAAACGAAGCAAAGCTTAAATGACATTCTTTTACTTGTCATTAATCTTTCTAATGCAGCAGTTCACAAGCATTAGGCTTTTTTTTTTTTTGAAAGGAGAATGAGCCCAGCACTGATAGAACCATTTAACTGTAGCTTAACTCCTCTGTGCAGTTTAGCTATACTTAAAACAGGCATCACATTAAAAAAAACTAATAATGAGAAGCAATTAGTCAGCTTCAAGATGAAATCTCATTTCCTATTATCACAATCAACACTGCAAAGCCAGTCATATATTTAGTTAAACTAGCTAGCCTAGTTTTTAGTTAAAACAGTAAATCTTGCTCTCAAATAACAGTGTCAGAAATCCCGTTTACCTAGAGAGGATGGCTTTGTCATAAATTTAAATACAACCGTACATTCACCACACAGATGTGATTCTGAACAACTAGAATGACATTTGCTAGAGTGCTGAAGGGCAAGAAGCAACTGTCAAAAAAAAAAAAAATCTGCCTAGTACCTTGTTAGGCTGTATTTATTTGTCAAGGCCTCCTATGCATCCCAATGTTTAACACAGCATTAAATTACTAGCAAACACAAGATAAACATCTACACCTCTAGTTATAATTACTTTTACTAATCAAAGAAACTCTACACACTTCTCAAAGAACAAGAGAAGAGAGGCTAGTTTCAAAGATATGGAATATAAATAAAAGTACTTCATAAGGTTCTGAATTTTTCTTTTACAGTTTGATTTTTTACAAAGATATATCACACAAAGTAGTTATTACTTCAATGCTAAGAAATTTTGTTTTACTTATTGCAAGAAGTTGATTTCTCATATACACGTGAGCGGCATGTAACACCGTGAGCAAACACAAAAGTAACTCTTCACAACTTCATCACCAAAATCAAAAGAAAAATAGTAAATTACCTCTCAACGGCATGATTTTTCAATATGAATCACAGCATGTATTCTCTGTTAGGACTATGAAGAGACTTAATGTAGTCTAAACTCAGGTGACACTTGGAATACAGACATGAATTTCTTCACTACAGACCAATTTTTACACTTCAAAAGTTAACACAAATGACAAGACATGAACCTCACTTCTGTTATACATACTCAAATTAATACTGATCTCTGAGATAAATTATACTAAAATAATGCACAGCTATAAAAACAATTGCCTTCCAAAGGGAAGGGAATCCTTACCTCAAACCCCAACTAATTTATTTTCACATATTGCTACTGAATTCGACTTTTCCCCAGGAGCATGTACACATTCATACCAAACTTAAAATCTTGCATGCTTGAATGCATCCTTGCATCAGTCCCAAAGCTATTATGTACCAGCAATTTTAAATAACCTCTTTAGTGTACTTTTTATTGAAAGATTCCTCCTAGACTAAACCCTTCTCTTTTTGAGAACCAGTTAAATTATTTTTAAGATCAAATTCCTTCAGTTCACTGATAATCACCACATTAAACAGCCAAAGAGCAAGAACAAGCTACCTAATGCATCAGCCTGATCTAGCAAATAGGATTACATTTGTTTTCCAAAGGAAATAATGACAAAACAAACAAACAAACAAAAAGAGAACAGACAGTAACAACAACAATAATAATAAAAAGGTACAGACAACCCCAAAAAGCAAATCTACGTCACGACTCACCTATCAGTTTCTTTATCTTCAGGCAGCGTGGGAGGCAAAGGCAAGGGCGGCAGTGTGGAGGTTGGTAGTGCAACAATTCGGTCCTTCTCCTTGGTTACTACACTTGGTGTACTCGGTTTGCTTTTCTCTTTTACAGTGACCGGTGGCTGTTTTACAACAGTTAATTTACTCTCTTTTACTGCTGTAGGTTTCTGTTTAGTAATTTTGTCTGCAATTAAATTATTTTCCCCTTTTGTTTCAGGAAGTGAGACCTTTGCTTTTGCCTTGTCATTTTTCAAATTTACGCTGCTTGTAGGAGAAGGTGTATGCTCAGTTTTTATTTTCTTCAGGTCCTTTACATTGTTCACTTGAGGTGCACTTACAGCAGTGTCAGTGTTTCCCTTAGTAGGTGTTGAAGTATTGGAAGCTTTTGCACTGGCTTTGGCTGCCTCAGCAGCTCTTGCTTTTTTGTTTTTGTTCAGCTCAGCAGCCAGGCTACTCTTCAGAGTCAATGTACTAGGAGAAATACTTGAATGACGACTTCTGGATCTAGACAATCTGTGTCTGCTACGAGACCTCGAGTGCCTTGATGAATATGGACTTCTGCTGCGAGATTTTGCTGATCTCCTGTTTCAAAAAAGTAAAGATTTACCCAGTTAAAATTTAGTCTAGCTGCTTTCTCAGTGTATCTGCTTTTTTCACAAACTACTTTTTTTTAAACCAACCATTATCACCATGCTTATAGAATAAACAAAAGTCTATGAAATAGGAAAGATCGTACATTAAAAAAAAAAAATCTACAGAGTTAATAAATCAAGATTCTACACCTAAACAGGCTGTTAGAAAATGTTAAAGCTTTCTTAGATGTAGTTTCTCCCATTAAAGAACTGCAAAATACAAGTATACCTGTAGGACAGGCACGTTCCTTTTTCCTCACTACTTATCAGAGATATTTTTCTCCTTTAAAGAAAACCTGATCCTATGCAACTTGTACAGATGTCTTTAGTATATGCAGTATTTTAGAAAAATTCAGCTGGCTACATAACCAGAATTCAACAAAATTAAATTAATGTTACAACATGACAAGAAAAATCTAAACACAACACTGAAGCAGTAATTGTAGCAACTTCTTAAGTTTCACTTGCACAACTGTTATTAAAATAAGTCAGTTGAAAAAAAAATACTTAATACTAAAGGCTGCAATATAACCAACTGAAAGACAATAAACCTTAGCTTTCCTTTTTCAAAATGTAATTGTAATACTTTTTCTCCCCCAAAATAAAAGTACTCAATACTTCTTACAGCTACAGATAAGCAAACATAATCCACAATGCTATGCCTGCATCAGAATAAAGAGACTAATAGGGAAAAAAAAAAAATCTAAGCCATTTACAAAATCATAGCAGGAAAACAACCTAGAATGAGGGTGGGGGGCAGGTGGGGAAATCTTAACAGTTAGAAATGCAAACTTTTACTGTGCAAAAATACCATTTAATATGAATTATTTTTCATTCAGTTTTTCAAAGGGATATCCTAATTTGCCTAGCAGTTTTGATTCAGTTCTTCATTAAAAAAAAGGGAAAAAAATACAGTTGAGGTGAAGGGCATGAGAACAAGTGAAGTAGCCTAATCCACTGCTACCACACAGAAACGTTATGAAATAAATGAAATTAAGTGTGGGAGTTTTAATCCATTTTACCGTACTAAGAATAGCAAGGGTATTCACCAGATTTACAAGTATTCTCTTGATTAAAGTTTGATGGAAATCTATTTTTCTTGAGTATATCACTTGAGGGGGAAGAAAAAGTATAATCAGGATAAAAAAAAATGTAATCAGCTGGACAAAGAAAAAAGTATCTAGCAACAGCAAAAATAAGACTTCTTGGAGATAAAAGAACTTCAAAATTCAAAAGATGCTCCAGTGTATGGAGGCTGCCAAAACTTTAAAGAAAAAAAAGAAAAAAAAAGCCAACTACAATCATTATGGTCAGGACTATCCAACTCTATGTCAGATTTCATTTTAGTAACAATTAAATTAATTCCATTTTAATTATCAACACAAGAAATTACATTTCAATGCTTCAACTGAACAAATATTTAATATAGTACAATGACATTTCTATTTTGTGTGCAATATTGACTAATTTCCAAATTTACACTGTTTTCCTGCATTATAAAATGTCTTCTTTCTAAAGCAACATGACAATTCATTGAGATAAGTCAAGATTATGTAGGAATGATTCAAAACAATGTGTAGGTGCCCACACTGTACACTATAGCACAAGTATCAAAATCCTATAGGTAATAGCTAAAGACCCTTGAAAGAAAAAGAAAGAAAAAAAACCACAAAAAACACCAAACAAAAAACATCAACCCCCAAAAAGGTCCCCCAAAAATCAAACCCCACGTGAAGATAAGTCTTGGAAACTAACACAGTTCAATTCTATGACAGGAAGCAGGTTTTATAGAATTTTTGGCATGGCAAGACAAGACAGACATAAAAATAAAAATAGTAATAATAATAATTTTTTACACTTTAATTGGAAATAAAAGCTGCACCATTCAATCCTCTGAATTTTCAACCAAAATTTAAGGTTTTGGTTCACTTCAGTAAAGAGATATTAATGTCCATTAAAAAACAAATAAAAACATAAAATTGCTCAAAAAAATTCCCTTGAAAACTTGCTTTTGCTCCATTATGAAACATGCTGCTGAAGTTATTTTTCTCATTATTACTTTGGAAATCTAAGTACTAAATCCCTCAGAAAACTTTCAGAGGCTTGGCCAAACTGGAGTAAAAGTTAGAAAGTACAAAGTTCCATAATATAGAGTTATGATGTAGAAAGAAAGAAAGAAAGAAAAAGGAAGGCTGAGACTATCCAGACAATACAAATACACTTCAAATTCTAGGCCAGAGCTCTCCTCACACTGTTATCTCATCTTCTGAGAGGAATTATTATCTCAAGCAGAGGTGTACTGCTACAGATCCGCACTGGCTGTAGAATCAGTATAATTCTATTTCTCCACCATCAAGCACAAGCTAATAAGCCACATTAGTCCTAAACTGACTTCCATAAATGACGCATCATTTCCGAGGATGTCACTGACCTGCCTTGGAAAACATTTGCTTGCACGTCTTGTTCCTAGATCAGCTATTTTAAACTGACACTTGCTCCAGTTACCTGTAGAACACATCCTCCATCCCAAGGACCTCACTGCAACCTGCCTTACCTGTATTATTTTTGTAAAACTCAAAATCAGTTATATTGCTTTCATAAGTACAATTTCTGGTTTGTTTTTTTTTGTTTTGGTTTGGTTTTGTTTGTTTGTTTTTTAAAGGCATCTAATATAAAGTACTCTATGTCACAAAAAGAAGTATGGACATAATTCCACGTGCACTAGAAAAGAGCAACAGCAGCTTAAAACACTAGAGTTGCTGAGACACCTGATTGCAAGCCTGTTTCCATTCCACTTTGGTTCAAAGTAGAACAGGTTCATTTAAACCACTATTAAGGATGACATGAGAAAATCTGTTCAAATTAGTGACTGCAAATGCTCACCTGATCAGCTACCATAACTTGGTGGGGAAGAGGCAGTTTTGAAAAGCTGGGGCAAAAATAACCTAAATCTTTATACCTTCTTCCAAAACCAACATGTAAGGAAGCCAAGCATTGACAGTGGTTTGATGTACATATTTTACCAACATTAGTCAAGAGAGTCTGGGACGTGAACACGGATTTATGCAAGCTCAGCAAGAAAACACCATTCTCCACCCCAGGCTTCACACCCCAAATGACAACAGCATAACTTTCTCATGTCAGAATTGCATCCATGCGGGAGACAGCGAACATACATGCACACATTAAGTTTCAGTTCCAGTACATACTGTGGCCCTTAAGAGCAGATCAAAATGATAGTAGCCTAGTTATGAAATATGTTGACTAAGTATAACCTCTGCACCGGTTTAATTCTCCCAAAAGTTTTTCATTATTTAATTTTATGTCATAAAAAAAAAAAAAATTATGTTGCATTACATAGTGCATGTCTGTGCTAATAATAAACTAGAGAACTTCCTTTGGCACCCCAAAGACTTTTGCAAGAATTCCTTGCTGTACCTTGTCCACTGGGCTAGACCCAAGAGAGTTACAGCAAAAACATTAACACTTTCAACGAAGCAGACAAATGCTGAATATTGAGTAAAAGGCAGCTTTGTCAAAGTGCTAATTATTCAAGTTACAATGATAAAATCTGGTGTTTTCATAAGCTTAATGATCTTTTCAAATATTCAACTATCACTTGCTTTCATCAGCGTTAGTTCGAAAGTCTGAAAAGAACTTTCCAGACTAGACAAAACTTATGTACAAGTTTCCACCTATAAAAATGGCACAAAACCGAAACTATGGACATTTATGAGCTTTCCCTCAGAAGCATATACAGAACTCAGAGTGGAGAAATACTGCCTTATACATAACAAAACCAGCCAATTCACTCTGTTCAGGGCTCACGCTCATTTGACATAAAAGATGAAGTCGCAGCAGCAAAGAAATGGGCTCACACAATAGCCAGTGTCTGCCATTTAACAGGACACTAACGTTTTACTGGGACCCTGAAAAAACACCAGGAGAGACATCTGAAATATACAGTACTCTCTAAATCTTCCAACAGGTTTCTATTAAATGTGGGTGCGTGCATGCATACACCCATATATAAAGCGCTTTCTCTGACATTCATTTCCCACCAACTATTTAGTTAGGAGTTTGTTTTTAACACAGTAAACAGGAACAAAAGAACAGTGGCTACAACTGCACAGAAACGCATTGCAAACGGCAAACAAATCCAACAAAACAATCCAACCTTTTTTTCCCCATGCCTGGAGAGATCAGAAAGTGTACTATACCTAAGGGCCATGTCCAAACCAAAAAGCACCAGCATCTGCTGGTAACACACACGGGGAGAGACTAAGAAGCCCCTGTTTTGGGTAAGTTTCTTCCAATGCTTCTTCCTATTTGCATCCAGAAGTTCTGCCTCCTTTACAAGTACCTTTGCCATGCTTAGCCATTAACAGTCTTCTAGGAGCATCCTGAATTCACTTCACACAGGTCTATATCCCTACACAGAGGATAACTGCCAGACTTCATGACATTCATAAAATCCCTTCTGAACCATATACGGATTTCAATGTTTTTATATATGGAGGGTGGGGGGAAAAAAAAAACAAAACTGATTTGCCCAAAAACCGTAAGTATCAGTAGGACTAGCCTGCATTAGAACTAAGAAGTTCTTTACATAAAGCTGCTTTTTTTTCTTCCCCAGAGACTAAGGAAACCAGGAGCACAAGTAGATTAGCTGCAAAGAGAAGCTGAAGTAATTGCATAATATTATGTGTAGCTATAAAATAAAAGCAGAAAAAATATTTCAAGACATTATTTACAAAACACGTATGAGAAGAGGCAGATTTAAAGAAACTGATAGAGGAAGAAAGTACTAATAAGGAAGTCACCCCAAACCAGAACTCAGTGCTGCTTTCCTCCATTTTCCAGAACAACAAAAAAAATGCTAAGCCCCCCCCCCCCCCCCCCCGAAATAATAATAATTAAAAGGTTGGTTTACGTATCACAGTTTTTTCT